AAACAGTTGTAAGCTAAAATCAGCACACATGACCCTGTTTTTTCTATTTTAGTTAATTTTTCAGTCACCCCCAACTTAATTTAAAAAATAAACAATCAAAATGAACGTAACTCACAATCCATAACGTCTGCTTTTAAATAAGCTTTTGCAAACACCACTTTAGTGGACTATGTAAAACACTTCGTTGATTAACGAAAAATTAGTCGATTAACAAAAAGCTTAATAAACTAACTGAAAATTTAGTTAACTTGATTTGGTAGATTAATCAAATAACATATATCATCTAAATACAAGTAACAGAATTAAAAAGAAATAATAATAATAAACAAAAAGTTAAACCAATATATATAAAAGAAATAAGTGATGTTGACTTTCTTGAGCTTGTTGACCATGTTTTGGGCAAATATCAAAACAAAAATGTAGGGCAATTGTAGAGAAGTGGTGTTTGAAGGGTTTTGTTAAAAAAAAAAAAAAAAAACCAATAAGGTGGGTGTCTGTCTAAATTTATTTGGTGTCAGGGGCCTTTATCTAAATTTATTTCGTTTGAGGGGCCTATATCTAATTGCCCACAATAAATAATAAATAATACTGATAGCATTTTGGAAAAAGAACGTGAAAAATAATTTGGTAGGTCGGAAGATGATAGAGGCCCCCCATTGGATGCTGCTTTTAATTTTTGTTAATTTTGTTTTTGTATGTTCTTTCATTTAAGTCAATCAAATTTGATTTGACACTTTTATTTATTTTCCCCCCTTCTATTTTATCATCAATTACTAATTACAATTACAAAAATCGATATACACCCACACGGTGGGCCACACCTCTACTATTTGAAAATAGCTAAGAATCAATTAATTAATTGATGATGTATAATAATTAAAAAAAAAAAGGCTAATATAAGTCTACATTGTGTATGGACAATACATAATTCATTAATTTATTTGAATTTTTAAAATGGAATTTGTATTACTTTTTCAATTTTCACAACAGACAAGTTGCAATTAATTGATTTCGCTTCAATGGCACAGAGGAGACTTTAATAATATAAAATAATGCTCCACTAGTCTCGTGATATAATTTCTTTAAAATATACTGGTGCATTACAAATAAGCAAACTATAGGTTACTTATTTATAAATGGTTCAAACAAAAAACTTTTTTACACAAAAGTTCATATATTATCTAGAGGTGTGTAAAATATTAAAATATCCCCTCACATTTTTAAATGATCTAATTTTATCTTTCAATTCAATTTAACCTTTTTACACCAAATTTCACCAATTATTCAATTTTGACTTAACAATCAATTTTGAATACAATTTCTCCCCTTGCCGCCGATCTCCGGCTTGACCCTTTTTTTTTCTCTCAACATTTTTTGGCCCGTTTAAGCAATAATATTGTTGTGGTTGACAATCATATTAACTATATTACTGTTTTACACAGTAATATTGCTATATTACTCTCTAACACAGTAATACTAACACAACAAAAATCACTATTGTTGTGTAATAGAATAATGTTAATATGTTGACAGTTCAACAAAGACAAACATAATAACTATCACTTCACGTAGACGTCAAGTGAGGAACGAGCCAAATCGCCCCTCATCGGTTACTCCACATTTTTCCTCGCCCAATGTTATCCGAGCTTGTCGTTTCGTATTCGTCCTTACTACATAGACATTTCCCACACGCACGAGGTTTCAATCAACCAGTTCCACCCCAACGCCATAAAATACATGACAAGTTTCTCCATGGTGTTAACCGCGTACAATATTGCCTCTACCACTGAGCGATTTTACTCTTGCTTCCTAGCTCGATTACATAATTTTTTTCTTCCTATATTCTATATTTTCGTTCGCCCTCATGTTAAGTTCCTCTAATGCCCGAACAAGGAACATGACTAGAGAAGATACTTTTTTCTACGTGAGCCTCGATCCCTTTTTAGATTTGCCTACCTAATGAAAATTCGAGGTCGCATTAGCGAAGGAAAAAAAAATGAGGAAGCCAGCGGACCGTGCACTACAATGAGGTCTTTATAAGGCTGTTGGACTGGGTACTCTGATAAGGTCTTCAGGAGGCCGGCGGACCGGGCACTCCGTTTAACCTTGAACACTTCCTTTTATTCGCCATCTCTTTTTAGAATATAGATGCGACCCATTAATTCATAAGGGTAAATTATAAAGGGAGGGACGTCAGGCTTCCCTGCCCGAATCCTCATAAAGGGTACAAAAAGAAAAGAGACGGTGCCCCATCAAAAAAAAGGCCTGACACGCCCGAGCGAGCTCTCTTATGTAGAGTATCCGTTGTCTTGTGCCCCACGTACTGGGCTATCCCTCCACCCTCTTCGAGATACTGAACCTTCCCTCACCGGGACCTGTGTTTCTGGGAGAACACCCCTCTTCTATCTTCCGTGTTCCGTGGGCTAATAACCTAGCTTCAGGCTCTTCGCCTGACCGTTTTATCTTTTATCCCCCCCCCGGCTGGCTCTCATTTTTCAGCTAGTCCTCCTCTTTCTATCACCTCAGTCTTCTTCCAGGTCTCCGCTTTCGGAACCCCCTCCCAGTAGCACTCCTCGGAGTCCCTCTGCTCGCCAACAACTTCCCTCATTTGGTCCCCAAGAGGGAATTTCATCATCAAGTGGTGGGTGCAAGTTATGGCGCAAAAGCGATTTAGTGTTTGTCGGGCGATGATGATGATTTAGCTCAAGGAGGTATTTTAGGACCATGAAATTGGCCGTGTATGTCTGCGGGAGCGCCTTGGTGCCTAGAGTAACTGATAATCTACGTATGAAAAACCGCAAGTGTACAATATCGCGTTTTGTAGAATAGAGAATTCCAGATATCGATCCACAGAGAATTAAGTTCCTAAATTTACCAAGTATCGTAATTATACTATTCTAAACTTTATTTAGATAATCGAAAGGATGGGATAAATGAAAGCTAAAAAAAAACAATAATAAAACACCGGTCCGCTAGGACAAGCGAGGAATTCCGACGTGTGATGACTTCTAGGGTGAAATCCACCTGTGTACTATCGATAAAGATCTAAAAATTCAAATTTAATGTCAATTCTATATTCGCTAACCCAGACACTAAAATACCCTAATCCCCATCTCCAGTGTAGTTAGAGTCTACCCACAGGTCCGACATCTCCGTTCACAACCTGATATTAAGAGAACATTTAGGTCAAGTCCTTAACGGCTACCCGAGGTGCATCACGTCTCCATTTCCACAACCCGAGCTATGTTTTCCTAAAATCAAATGATAAATCCTCTCTCGTGTTCACTCACATTTACAATTAATTCACCTATTGGCCAAACAATCGAAAGTATTTAATACAGGAAAACATAAACATAATCAAAGAACGACAAATAGATCACAGATCTGGAAATTAAAATCAATATATACAAGGTTTCATTTTTCTAAAAGAAAATGTTCAGTTCATTACAAACATAGCATCAAAATGAATAACACGAGAAATCATAAACTAAACGTAAAGAAAAAGCTTATGAAAAACCCGAGTCAAAACCCGAGTCGAAGCTTCCCGCGTAGAACTGACCAAAACCGAAGAGAAAACCGAAGAAGAAGTTAAAGGTTTAAAAATGAAGAAGAAACCCTCTATTTATAGTAAGAAAAGAAAGACAAATATGTGGTCTGAATTTATGTGCCTTGATCGCGATACGGGCATCATGGATCGTGATCTGGCAACCTCGGAAACTGCACAACGCCTTTCTAGATCGCGATCCAGGATCGCGATCTGGGTCTTGATAAACAAACCTTATATTAGAACTCCCCAAATCTGCATCAACTTCAAACACTGTTTTGAGCCTTTTTCAGCCCAAATTTGACAATTATGCATTTCACAAAAGTTGTAGCCCTTCCAGTTGACTTTCTAAAACCACCTGAATCAGAGCAATCGAAGGTTGTATGAGAGAGCGAGAATTCACTATTTGCACGTGTTTGGATTGATTCTCGGCTTCGCTTCCAAAATCGTTTCGAATCGGCAAAAATAGCTTCTCTTTACCTAAAAGTGAAAAAAAACAACATAATATATACAAATAACGCCGAAAACTCAGACGAATGAAGACCAGATAAAAATATTAAATAAGTAAAAGTCATACATAACGAACACTTATGAGTAACCTGGAGCGAGACTTCGCCTTTGGCCTCCACTACTTCTCCTGTGAAATCGCAGATGGGGGCTTTGATAAGGTTGACTCCTAACCCGAGGCCCATCCTCTCTAAGCAGTCGGCGTATATCACGTCGACAAAACTTCCCCTATCCACGAAAACCCGAGATACGTCATATCTTGCGACGTGCGCGGTGATGACCAGCTCATCATTGTGGGGGTGCCAAATCCCGCGGCTGTCCATTTCACTGAATCGGATGGGCGGGGAGCTCGTCTGTGTTAAACATACCTCTGCATCCCTTGGAGCAGTCCCTGCGGCCATCCTGGCATATTCCTTCCTCTTTCTATGGGAATCCCCTCATGTGGGTCCGCCCATGATCATCAGTATGTGCCTCTTCCAAGCCTCCTTATCCCGGCGGGCATTGACCCCTTCTCCTCTCCTGAGCTCGCCTCTGTTTTCCTTTACGATTTCCCGTAGCATGTCGCTCCGGGCTAACCTTTCCAATTCATGTTTCAAGTGCTGGTAATCGTGAGTACTGTGCCCATACTCGTTATTGAAACGACAATGCCAGCCAGTACCCTGATTTTTCTGGAGTCTCTTTGCCCTGATGGATGACCATTTGACCTTGAGATCATTCTTCATATCGCGCAATATGAGTGCTCGAGAGCTGGTTAGGATAGCGTAGTGGTAGAAATGCAGACCCAATTCCGTTCGCCTGTCTGGGGCCCCCCCGGCTAGGGGCAACATCCGTAGGCCGTGGGGCCAAGGGGCGAGCCTCCCTTCTCCTAGGCTCATCACTTTGTTCGGCCTCCTTCTTGCTTTTGGCTTATTCTATGTTGATGTATACTTCCGCCCTTTTCAAGAGTTCGTCATATATTTGGGGGCTTCTTAGTTAGTGATTTGAACAGCTCACTATCCTTCAATCCCTGCAGTAGGGCATTGGTTAAGATATCATGTGAGAGACTTGGGACATTTAATGTGGCATTAGTGAATCTTCGGATGTAGTTCCTCAAGGGCTCGCCCCTCTCTTGGCGAACTATAAATAGGGTGAGGGCAGATTTTTTCTGCTTCTCCGAACCGACGAAGTGATCTAGGAGCATCGAGCTAAAACCCTTGAAGCTATGGATCACCCCGTCAAGAAATTGGTTATACCAGAACTGGGAGGACCCTTCCAAGGTAGTGGCAAATGCGATGCATTTTATGCCATCCGAGAATCTGTGCAAGTGGACCGTACTCTTGAATTTGCACACATGCGCCCAAGAGTCCGTGGTTCCATCATAAGTGAAGGGGACTGCGATGTATCCCATCGGCAGGGTGGCTTCCATGATCTTATCGGACAAGGGGGTGCTCTCATTCCCCGCTTTCTTAGTAGGCAACACGTTCTGCTGGAGCTCGGTCACCTCCCGCCGCGAGCCCTCTATACTCTTGTCTAAGACTTCCTGGACACGCGACGTGGCTTCCATGGAAATATGGCTTCTCGTTGGCAGAGAGCGAGCGATCCTCTTCTTGCCCTTCACCGGGGTGCCTTGTCATACGGTCCTTCTGCACAACCGCGGTAACTGTTCGCTGGATGTCTTTCAGCACCTGGACCACATGGGAAGCCAGTGGTTGGCCTGTCTGGGTGGGGGCATTTTCACTACCGGAGTAGGCGGAGTAGGATGGTCCTCCTCTCTCATTCTGCAACCATACCTCCTTGTGGGGTGATGTCATTTTTCGTGATTTCTGACTGCTCAGTGGCGAGCATTTGTTGGTGGATAACCTACACGCAAGTGCGCGTATCGTACAAGAAATAAAGTTGATTTTTAAGTCCATGTATCGATCCCACAGAGAATATTTAATTACTTAATCCTAGACGCTAAATCCTAGAAATTATTATCAAGCCCACCCTACACAGTGGAAAGATGAATAATTAACTAAACTAAATTAATGCAAATTAAAACAATAAAAACAACGAAAGCAGTTAATACGAAGATTAATCAGAGAAAACAAGCCTAGGATTTTATTCTTCCCCCTATGTGATTATTAATTCCCCAATTCCTTCAATTATGCAAGCAATTAACTCGGATTATTAACCTGAGATGATAAATTAATCATAACTCACTTCCGCGTGTATTATGATTCTAATACTCTAGATTCACTTACTGTATTAATCATAATTCCACAGTTTTGACCCTTTATTTATCCAATTCATCAATTTGTACTTAAAATACAATAAATCAACATTTTAAGCACCAATTATCATTAAAACACACCAAAAGCTCCAATTAAAAGGTACGATTAAGTGTAAAAATATACACTTAACACACCCCCAAAGTTGAACTTTTGCTTGTCCCAAGCAAAATCTACACATAAGCAAATAACTCAACTACTACATCTCATTACATAGATTAATGATCAATTTCACGTTTTCAGAACTTGTAATTATAATGAAAATTCTTAGGCATTCGCAAGCTCAAATTCAAAAGCACTTAGTCACTTACCATTGCCAAAAACCACAAATCATGCAATTGCTTAAAGCATCAAATATTTGTAAATTAAAGATAGAAAGAATTTATGTTTACATGCATATGTTCGACTCCGAATACTCACCAAATTCTTCTACTTTACTAATATCGAATATTAATCTATTGGGATCATTGGGGCTTTTTGGCTTTCAATTGTTAGGCTCTTTGGTTCGAGGTAGGAAATATGGGTATATGTGGCTATACTTCTTGAATTGAGGTGATTACACTAAAATTTGAAAGATGAAAGATAGGCGTTTGAAACAATGAATTCACCTCCAATGACTTTAATAAACTCGATTCTCAAGAGTTTAAAAGTCTCCACTTTTGCTCTTAAGACAATGGATCGAGCTTTCAAAAATAATTCAACAACTAGTCCCTCTAGTCTCTTCTTCTTCTTCTTCTTCTCTTTTTTTTTTTTTATTATTATTATTTTTTTCTAAGAAGAAGAAGAAGGACTTTTATAAAAAAAATCAACTGAACTCCAAGGGGTAATTTTTCAAGAATCTCCATCTATTCTACCTTGTACACATTGGCTAAAAGAAAGAACACCTTTTCTCCGAGGCTCAAATCAAGGTTCTAAGGATATTTCGATAAAAATGTCGGCTTGAAAGGCTCAAATGGTTCAAATATGGCCCAAATCATATCCCAAATCACTCACTAATAAATACTTCGTATCATAAATTTCCTAAGGTGAGTTCTAAAACTGAACATAGCATGATCTAACACAAATTAATTCCAAATTTAAAATAAAAAACATTCAACCAAAGCAATGCACAAAGTGTGATTCCTAGCAATAATTCGTTTCTAAGTTCCGTTGAATCGAAAGCTGAACAAACATCTAATCCTTATCACACAAAACAAGTAATCTCATCATCAAACATTGATCATCTCTCATCATCATAACTCATCGATGCATTCGACTCAAGCAATTATTTTTTTAATTTTTTATTGGAACGATAAAAGCAATAAAAATAGAAAAATAAAACATCTAAAATAAAAACCTAAGGCATGCAACTAAAGCAAATAAGCACAAAAACATGTTTTTCTACCCCCAAACTTAAAATTTTCGTTGCCCTCAACGAAATTAGCACAAAGTTTAAGGATAGAAAACACCTGATTTAGTCGGAATCGTCGTCATCGGGGTATGAGAATTTCTGGGAAATAAATCTGATTTTTTTTTTCCATTTTTTTGGTTGCCCAAAATGTGTTCGGACGGCCGTCCCGTGATATGAGCTTGTTTTCGGACGGCCGTCTAGCAAGCAGAGACTTAATTTTCAAGTTTCTGGATTTCAGACAGCCGTCTGGGATTTTGCTAGGATTTTCGGACGGCCGTCTGGACCCTCTGACCACGTTTTCGACCCTGGAAATTAAAATTCAAATAGATTAATTAGAATGCATGCCTATGAGAATAAAAAAAACGAAAAATTAAAGAAAAATACGAAAACAATAAAGCTCGGGTTGCCTCCCGAGAAACGCTTAGTTTAAAGTCTTCAGCCTGATGTTGCTTCTTTATTTTCAAGCAAAAGTGACCGAAGTCACTTGGCAATCTTTACTCGCTTCTCAATGCGGTTTGAGCCGGCTCCATTTCACGTTGAACGTACGATTCAAATCTCGCTCCTTTATCTTGACTACTTTGTGAGGAAGAATCTCTTGGACAATAAACGGCTCCGACCACTTTGATTTGCGCTTCCTTGGGAATAGCCAAAGACGGGATTTCCACAATAACACCAATTGTCATTTGTGCAGTTTCCCTTTGACTTTATCCTTACGCCCCCAGTAGCTTGAATCGTCCCTCTCTCGTAGCTTGCTCGATTCTTTGGGTGGCAACATCCTCCTTGCACTTTCATCGTCGTTAATACCCCAAATCTTATGACTTTCTCTCGGAGGAGTTGAAATTGAGTCCACAAAGTAAACTTGCTCCTTCCGATTCCCGTTTTTGCCATCATCTCCTGCACTCAAAGATGCTTTCCCATGATCCAAGATCAAAACATCAAATTTTTCATGATTTGTAAAACCCATAAGGTCAATAGCAAAACAATTATTATTATCACATGGATTTTTATTAGCACTAAAAACATTGAACTGTCATTGTAAGATCACCACTAGCACAATTAATTAGAGTTTTCGACGTGGCTAAAAACGGTCTCCCCTCGATAAGAGGTATCTCCATATCCTCATCTATATCAAGTATAACGAAATCAACAGGGAAAATAAATTTATTAACTTTCCCTAGCACATTCTCTAAAATACCTTTTGGGTAAACTAAAGACCTATCGGCTAATTGAAGAGTTATAGCCGTCGGTTCAATCTCAACTGACCCAAGATTTTTAAAAGTGGAATAAGGCATAAGATTAATGCTAGCACCTAAATCAATGAGCGATCAAATTTTTTTACCTCCTATAGTACAAGGAATAGTAAACTTACCTTGATCGCCGAGTTTTTGTGGAAGGGGCTGGGTAAGAATTGCACTGCATTGCTCGGTGAGTTGGATCACCTCGTTCCCTTGCAATTTCTTACCTTTCACCACGAGATCCTTGAGGAACTTCACCCATGTTGGAATCTTTTGAAGTGCTTTGATGAAAGGAATATTTATGCGAATTTCCTTCAACTTATCCAAAAACCCTTGGTATTCGGCATCGATCTTCTTCTTTAGAAACTTTTGAGGATATTGAATTGGTGGGGCTCGTGCAATCACTATTGATGGCGGTTTTTCTTGAATTGATTCATTTTCCTCAATCACTTTTTGCTTCTCGATTACCGTATTTCGTTTCTGTTTTCGTAGGCTTCCTCCAATTGCTTACCATTCTTCAAGGTGACTGTTTGACACGTCTCGACCTCGATCGTTTTCGTTTGCAATCTTTGGGGATATGGGATTGGTTCCACCCATTCGGCTACAGTGACTTGCGGCTTAATTGAGATTTTTTCCTTTTCCTCGATTTTGAAATCGATAGCTTGGCACGTCTCGAACTTTTGCTTTCGAGGATCTTCCGCATTCGATGACAGTGTTCCTACCGGATGGTTCTCTTCATTCAATGCGAATTTTGCGAATTGAGTCTCTAAATTTCGCAGCGAGGCTTGAGTAGCGGTCATAAATTGGGCCAATATTTCCTCCGTGTTTGATTTTTGGGCCGGTGGATTGTTGCCTTGATAGCTTTGTTGAGGAGGGGCTTGATTTTGAAATTGACCTTGAGGTCTTTGATACCCTTGGCTTTGTTGATTTCCTTCGTATTGCCCTTGTCATCTCCACCCTTGATTTTGGAATTGGCGAGGCGCATTGTTGACGTAGTTGAGCAATTCCACCTCTTGTTGGCATTGGAGCATGTAATGATTTCCACCGCAAAGTTCACAACATGGAGAATCCACGGCTTGGACTTGCTGTGGGGGATTTATTTTGATGCGTTGGAGCAAGAGTTGATTTTGTTGAGAAATTTTGGTCATTTGAGCTTGAAGGGCCGTAATTGCATCCAACTCCAAAACTCCGGGAACTTTATTGGCTCCACTAATCGTCCTTTCGCTTGATTTGGCAAACCCGTCTGCGCAATTTGATCGAGCATAATAAATGAATCCGGTATTGATTGACTCATAAAGTTACCCCCGGTTGATGCATCTAAAACGATTCTCGCATTCTCGTTAATTCATTGGTAGAAGATGTGAATTTGCCGCCATTGTTCCACTCCATGTGTTGGACACTGCCGCATAAGAGTTTTAAATCTCTCCAATGCCTCGTATAATGGCTCCCCTTGATCTTGGACGAAATTATGAATTTCCCGTCGTATGCTCTCGTCTTTCTCTGGTGAGCTGTAAACTTTCATAAAAATTTT